TTTTTTTTCTACGACTTCTCTCCTCTGATTTTTTTTTTCGTGCTTTTCTCTCTCTGATTTTTTTTTTTCAGAACCAGCAACACAGGTTCAACAAAACAAGACGAAAAGAGTTGCAGACAAGAAAGAAAAGAACCCTAATTTTTTTTTATTTGATGTAAAAACTGAAAACTAAAGATACGCAAACTTGATTTAGGGATCTGATGCTCTGATACCAAGATGATGAGAACCCCAAAGAGAACAATGAGACCCACAGCATCACAAGGGATTTCTAAACTCCAGGAAAGCTAAATCAGGTTTATAATAGGACCTTGACCCGTTGTTTATGTCGCAACAAGAACCAAAGGTAAAAAAACCTTGACCCGTTGTCTATGACGCAACAAGAACCGAAAGTATAAAGTTGGTTGACGCCACACCCTCGAACGATTAAGAACGAGAATGATAAGTCAGGTTAGAATGCCACAAGAATAATCTTGATAAGCTCTGTAAAGTTCTGAAACGAATCAAAGAGAAAAGTCTCTTAAAATCTCAGATTCAATAGCCTCCTCCCCATTAGGGTTACAAGCCTTTTAAATAGAGAAAACAAATCCTAATCAGAATAGGAAATTAACACCCTAAGTCCTAAACCTAATAACCATGAATTGAGCTTCAAATAAGCGAATGTTCAGCCCAAAAATAATACAAAAAACATGAAAATCACTAAAAATAACCTAAAATAACATGAAATATCAGTTTGCTACAAATTACGGCAGAATTGTGCGATTTTGACGCAAACTGTGTAATTCTATGCAAATGACTTCAACTAAACTTCTCTTGAACCTGAATGATGTTTACCATGCCTTGATAATCATCCAAGCTTCGATTTGTTTGTTGTATGTTGTTTTCAACCCAGATTTGCTCAATAAGGCCATTTAAAGTTTCACACATCTTCTTAGCTCTAGCTCGCGTGATTGGACCTCCTTGGGTGTGTAATGGATCACATGACGTAGTAGATATGCTGTCGTCTTGATTCCCATCACACTAACAATCGTAAATAAGCTGACAATATACAACAAAAATCTTGATTCATATTAAGATTTAAATTCTTATAAGGACAGTTGTAGAATTTTCTCTCTTCTCTCATAATGTCATGTCTAATGCTTCAATGTCAATTATCCCTTTCTATTGATAATGACCTTTGCACATCACGATGATACCAATTGCCCAAAAAGATGAAACCTGCAATATAATAATTTCAAAGTGCCTTTTTTACTTTTATAATTCTCTTCCACTTATAAAATCTTGATTTAAGGTTAACTTAAAAAGTTTAAATATTTGTTATACTAGACAGGTTAATCCCTTCATGCACTTAAGGAAAAAAAATTCCTCTTTCAATAAGTTTAGAGAAGAAAATAATTGTCTTGTAACTTCTTGGATCCCCACCTACGGCGTTGAATTCTTCTCTTTTTTATTTGGAATTAAAAAGAAAAAAATAATTGATTTATATTGTTAAATTAAGACTGTATTAAATTATATAAAAAATTATTAAAATAAATTTTATTTTTAATATTAATGTAATGTAACTTCTTGGATCCCCACCTACGGCGTTGAATTCTTCTCTTTTTTATTTGGAATTAAAAAGAAAAAAATAATTGATTTATATTGTTAAATTA